AGCCCACGTTGGAGAGGCAGCTCTGCTCCAGGACACTGTCTGGGTCTGGATTCCTTGCACCTGTCACTCCCCACCCCTCTGGATTCCTTGCACCTGTCACTCCCCACCCCTCTGGATTCCTTGTACCTGTCACTTCCCACCCCTCTGGATTCCTTGTACCTGTCACTCCCCACCCTTGTCTGCATCCTGCCTTCCAGCCAGCACAGAGGAAGGACTTGGAAAGAGGCTGCCCTTCCCTTTGCAGGGAACTCAGAGCCACTGCCCACACTTCCTGCTGGTCAGCCGCAAGGGAGGCTGTGAAATGGAAGCTCTCTTCAGGGCAACTCTGCTCTACTGAGAACTGGCAGTTCTAGGAAGGGGAGAGTGAGTATGTGAGGACTTTGCTACATGTGAGGGACAAGCATGAACTAAACGAGCACACACATAAGTGGACAAAGCTTGAGGGATGCTTTGAAGGAGAGGTACATGGTGTTGGGAGAGCATAGGAAGGTGTCCAGGAAGGCTTCCCTGAGGAAGTGGCATTTGAGATGTGATGTAGAAAATGAGTAGGAGCTAATGGGGAAGGAGGGTCACAGTGTCCACAACAAGGGCAGCAGTGGGTGCAAAGGCCCTGTGGTCAGAGGGAGCATAGCCTTCTCAGGATACCTAAGAAGCCCTCCGGCCACCTGTGGTACCTTACTGGACAACAGGGATGGAAGGAACATTCTCCATCACAGAAAGTTCTACTGGACACTCACCCCCACCCCCACCCCACCCCACCCCGCCGACACAAGCTGGGTGCTGCGGGCTTACCAGGATGACTTAAGAAATGACCCAGCCCCCAAAGAGCTCAGCCATCTGTTTGTCAGTCACTAATCAAGGCCCTTCCACGTGCAGGAGGATATTGTGAAACCAAGATGTATACGTTCCCTACCTTCACAGAGCTTCCTGTCCTGCAGATGGACAACTGTCTCCCAAACAGAGACTCAAAGTAATTCGGGCTTAAACAACGGAGACTTTTATTTTCTCTCCTGAAAGCCCACGTTGGAGAGGCAGCTCTGCTCCAGGACACTGTCTGGGTCTGGATTCCTTGCACCTGTCACTCCCCACCCCTCTGGATTCCTTGCACCTGTCACTCCCCACCCCTCTGGATTCCTTGCACCTGTCACTCCCCACCCCTCTGGATTCCTTGCACCTGTCACTCCCCACCCCTCTGGATTCCTTGTACCTGTCACTTCCCACCCCTCTGGATTCCTTGTACCTGTCACTCCCCACCCTTGTCTGCATCCTGCCTTCCAGCCAGCACAGAGGAAGGACTTGGAAAGAGGCTGCCCTTCCCTTTGCAGGGAACTCAGAGCCACTGCCCACACTTCCTGCTGGTCAGCCGCAAGGGAGGCTGTGAAATGGAAGCTCTCTTCAGGGCAACTCTGCTCTACTGAGAACTGGCAGTTCTAGGAAGGGGAGAGTGAGTATGTGAGGACTTTGCTACATGTGAGGGACAAGCATGAACTAAACGAGCACACACATAAGTGGACAAAGCTTGAGGGATGCTTTGAAGGAGAGGTACATGGTGTTGGGAGAGCATAGGAAGGTGTCCAGGAAGGCTTCCCTGAGGAAGTGGCATTTGAGATGTGATGTAGAAAATGAGTAGGAGCTAATGGGGAAGGAGGGTCACAGTGTCCACAACAAGGGCAGCAGTGGGTGCAAAGGCCCTGTGGTCAGAGGGAGCATAGCCTTCTCAGGATACCTAAGAAGCCCTGGTCGATGAAGGTCACAGAGGTCTTCTGCAGACGGGGGATGAATTCCCTAAGAAGGAGCTCCGTGGGGCTGGGGGTCAGAGATATCTACTCAGTTCCAGGCACTTTTCTAAGTTCTGTACTAATTAATCCATTTAATGCTTGAACAACCCATGAAATTGTACCCGTGCGGTTCTCAGCTTCAGAGGAGCAGACGCCAAGAAGGGATTAGATGTGCGACAGACTTACGGGACTGTCTTGGTTCACTCGGCAGATATTTCTGAAGTGTCCTAGGTTCTGGGGATACAGCAGTGAAGAAAAAAATCCAAGTCCATGTTCTTACGGACCTTAGGGACCTTGTCAGATAGTGGGAGAGACAGGCAATCAACAGATAAGAAAATAAATGTTTCACTTTGTTTGCCATCTCTGTTTTGAAGAGCACCACCTGGCCTCTTTCTCTTCTCCTTGGCAAGGAATTCCTGGTAACAGATTCTGCCCGCGTCATCAGGAGAGTTTTCCTCCCCTGACAGGACCTGGGGTAAGCGCTACATGTAGCCGGGCAGGTGGACCTTTAGGCACTTGAGCTGCCAGCGTTCCCATTCACTGACTCACTCACTCATTCATTCATTCATTCAGCCAACCCGAGTCGATGGAGCCCCTCCTCTACTCCAGGCCCTGTGCCACGAAGGACAGGCACATGAGCCCCGAGCTAGCCCGCAGGTGGGACGCAAGGGTGAGACGGGACTCCGTCCTTAAGGAAGTTAAGGGGAGCTGATATCTGAGGGATGAATGGGTTTAACCAGGCCAAGGTGGTGCTGGGGTCGGGGGGATAAGGAGCCAGGTAGGAGGCACCTGCACAAAGCAGCTCCCTGGCAGCTAGCGAGGGGCGTTCTGGGTCTCTTTGGGGACAGCTGGTCTCCTAATTTCGCCAGCGACCGACTCCTTAACCTGTTTGGCCTAGATTCCTCAGCACTGTTTAATTTCTCTCAAGCTGACCATGCTTGCTTTAAGTCTTTCAGAAATTCATCATTTCAACAACTGAGCACTGACTGTGTGCTTGGTGCTGGAGATATGAAGGGACCAAATGGACAGAAATCACTGCTTTGGTGGAATTTACACTCTATTGGAGCAGACAGAAAGCAAATGAAACAAATGTAAAATATATAATATGTTAGCAGGGAATAAGCACCACGAAGAAAAGTTCAACAGGATAGGGAAAG